AGTGTAGTTCAACTGATCAACTATATGTTTAATGGTTAGGGGCTCATGTGCCCTAGTTAAGAAATCTTAGACTATCCCTAAGGTCATAAAACATTCTGTTTTCTACTCTGGACACTCCATTGCTTTACTTTTCACATTAAGATCTATAATATATTTTGAATTGTTAAGTAGGAAGTCAAACGTTATTTTTCTTATACAGAAATGCAATCAATCCAGGGCTATTTATTGTAAGGACCATTTCCCTCACTGAATTGACGGAGTGGTCTCATCATAAATAAAGAAATTGTTTATGTGTAGGTCTGTCCCTGGGATCCCAGTTCTGTTCCATGGATCTATTTGACTATCTTTGTGCCAAAATAATGCTGCCCTGGTTACTGTAGCTTTAATAATAAATCTCGATATCTTCCAGTGAAAAGCCCCTGGACAGAGGAGCCTTGTGGGCCACAGATGAGATCACAACAAGCTGGACACAAGTGAGCAACTGAGCACACATCTGATAGTGAAAACCTTCCAGTGCTGTCCTTTAGGATTGCGCTCGGCATTCCAGGTTGTCATGTAAATTTTAGAATCAGCTTGCCAAGTCTTTCCCTCACTCTCTCTCGCCACTTGATTGGGATTTCATTGAATCTATAAAACATTTGGGGATAAAATTGACAAATATTGGGATAATGTATGTCTCCACTGTTTAGGTCTTTAGTTGCTCTCTGTTCAGCTCAGTTCAGTTGCCCAGTCATGTCCAATTCTTGGTGACCCCATGAACTGCAGCACTCCAGGCTTCCTTGTCCATCACCAACTCCCGGAGTTTACTCAAACTCATGTCCATTGAGTCGGTGATGCCATCCAACCATCTCATCCTCTGTCGTCCCCTTCTCCTCCCGCCTTCAATCTTTCCCAACACAGGGTCTTTTCAAATGAGTCAGTTCTTCACATCAGGTGGCCAAAGTATTGGAGTTTCAGCTTCAACATCAGTCCTTCCAATGAATATTCAGGACTGATTTCCTTTAGGATGGACTAGTAGGATCTCCTTGCAGTCCAAAGGACTCTCAAGAGTCTTCTCCAACACCACAGTTCAAAAGCATCAGTTCTTCAGCACTCAGCTTTATTTATAGTGCAAATCTCACATCCATATATGACTACTGGAAAAACCATAGCCTTGACTAGATGGACCTTTGTTGACAAAGTAATGCCTCTGCTTTTTAATATGCTGTTTAGGTTGGTTATAACTTTCCTTCCAAGGAGTAAGCGTCTTTTAATTTCATGGCTGCAGTCACCATCTGCAGTGATTTTGGAGCCCCCCAAAATAAAGTCTGTCACCGTTTCCATTGTTTCCCCATCTATTTGCCATGAATTGATGAGACCAGAGGCCATGATCTTAGTTTTCTGAATGTTGAGCTTTAAGCCAACTTTTTCACTCTTCTCTTTCCTTTTCATCAAGAGGCTCTTTAGTTCCTCTTTATTTTCTCCCATAAGGGTGGTGTCATCTGCATATCTGAGGTTATTGATATTTCTCCCAGCAATCTTGATTCCAGCTTGTGCTTCCTTCAGCCCAGCGTTTCTCATGAAATACTCTGCATATAAGTCAAATAAGCAGGGTAACAATATACAGCCTTGACGTACTCCTTTCCCTATTCGGAACCAGTCTGTTGTTACCTGTCCAGTTCTAACTGTTGCTTCCTGACCTTCATACAGATTTCTCAAGAGACAGGTCAGGTGGTCTGGTATTCCCATCTCTTTCAGAATTGTCCACAATTTTGTGGTGATCCACACAGTCAAAGGGTTTGGCACAGTCAATAAAGCAGAAATAGATATTTTTCTGGAACTCTCTTGCTTTTTTGATAATCCAATGGATGTTGGCAATTTGATTTCTGGTTCCTCTGCCTTTTCTAAAACCAGCTTGAACATCTGGAAGTTCTCGGTTCACGTACTATTGGAGCCTGGCTTGGAGAATTTTGAGCATTACTTTGCTAGCATGTGAGATGAGTGCAATTGGGTGGTAGTTTGAACATTCTTTGGCATTGCCTTTCTTTGGGATTGGAATGAAAACTGACCTTTTCCAGTCCTGTGGCCACTGCTGAGTTTTCCAAGTTTGCTGGCATATTGAGTGCAGCACATCCACAGCATCATCTTTTAGGATTTGAAATAGCTCAACTGGAATTCTATCGCCTCCACTAGCTTTGTTCATAGTGATGCTTCCTAAGGTCCACTCGACTTCGCATTCCAGAGTGTCTGGCTCTAGGTGAGTGATCATATCTTTGTGATTATCTGGGTCATGAAGATCTTTTTTGTACAGTTCTTCTGTGTATTCTTGCCACCTCTTCTTAATATCTTCTGCTTCTGTTAGGTCCCTACCATTTCTGTCCTTTATTGAGCCCATCTTTGCATGAAATGTTCCCTTGGTATCTCCAGTTTTCTTGAAGAGATCTCTAGTCTTTCCCATTCTGTTGTTTTCCTCTATTTCTTTGCACTGATCGCTGAGGAAGGCTTTCTTATCTCTCCTTGCTATTCTTTGGAACTTTGCATTCAGATGGGTATATCTTTCCATTTCTCCTTTGCCTTTTGCTTCTCTTCTTTTCACAGCTATTTTGCTATTTTGCTCAGACAGCCATTTTGCTTTTTTGCATTTCTTTTTCTTGGGGATGGTCTTGATCCCTGTCTCCTGTACAATGTCACAAATCTCCATTCATAGTCCATCAGGCACTCTGTCTATCTGATCTAATCCCTTGAATCTATTTCTTACTTCCACTGTATAATCATAAGGGATTCGATTTAGGTCATACCTGAATAGTCTAGTGGTTTTCTCTACTTTCTTCAATTTAAGTCTGAATTTGGCAATAAGGAGTTCATGATCTGAGCTACAGTCAGCTCCCGGTCTTGTTTTTGCTGACTGTATAGAGCTTCTCTATCTTTGACTGCAAAGAATATAATCAGTCTGATTTCTGTATTGACCATCTGGTGATGTCCATGTGTAGAGTCTTCTCTTGTGTTGCTGGAAGAGGGTGTTTTCTCTGACCAGGGCACTCTCTTGGCAAAATTCCCTGCTTCATTCTGTACTCCAAGGCCAAATTTGCCTGTTACTCCAGGTGTTTCTTGACTTCCTACTTTTGCATTCCAGTCCCCTATAATGAAAAGGATGTCTTTTTTGGGTATTAGTTCTCTCAGTGGGGCTTCCCTACTGGCTCAGATGGTAAAGAATCTGCCTGCAGTTTGGGAGATCCAGGTTTGATCCCCAGGTCAGGAAGATCCCCTGGAGAAGGGCATGGCTACCCACTCCAGTATTCTTGCCTGGAGAATTCCATGGACAGAGGAGCCTGGCCGGCTATGGTGCAAGGGGTCTCAAAGATTCAGATGTGACTGAGTGGCTAATACTTTCAGTAATATTTTCTTATTTTCAGTGTGGGAAAAAATTTAATAAAATTCAGCTTTTTACTTGGCATACTTCTTTCCTTTTTATTAGCGAGGAGTAGCATCGGACAGGACTGAAGTGACTTAGCAGCAGCAGCAATGCAAAAGCTATTGAAAATCAAATTCCATTTCCAGCCTATTGATGAGAGACCTCAAAGATGTCTAGAGGCCCCATGGGAGCGCTGGTCTGACTTCACAGTCCTCCTCATTGCCTGCTGTACCCTGGTCTTCCGCAGACTGGACAGTCCTTCAGGCCTTCCCACAGCTCTCCATCTAACTGTCCTGCTCTGACATTGCCATTTTCTCATCCTTCCAGACTGAGTTCATTTTGTTATTTACTTACAATCTGATTTCAGACTGGACGTTTGTCTGCAAGCTAGCTTAAGTGAAAAGACATTTACCAGGAGGTCATAGGGGGCTCATAGGACCAACGGGAGGCTGCGGGGCGAGGGGCTGAAATGGGCAGACGTCACTCGCTTGGAAAACTGGGTCATGAGAAGCCCAGCTCTCAGCTGGAGCTTGGTCCACAGGCTGCTGTGGCTGCATCGGAGGAACATCCACCAACAGCTCTTCTGTCCTTGTGCAACTTGCTCAAGAATGAGTGATCCAGAAGAGAGGGTCGTCTGAGCCAAGTTGGAATTATGTGAGAATCTGGCTGATTTGGTCTTTGCACTGGGAGATGGGCGTGGGAGGAGGCAAGAATGATCTCTCACCTGAACTAGATAGCATGAGGACTCACCTGAAGGGTAAGCAAGGAGCTCTTGTTAAAGGGGAGGGAGGGACGGTTGGAGGTTGGAGGTTGGAGGGCTGAAAAATAACACTGTTATCCTAAGGAGAGGGTAGTCACTTGAGGGCAGTCACAGGGCCCTGAGTATAAACTGGGAACAATAGTGCTGTGATTGTTGTTCACAGCAGTAAACACAGTTCAGAATATGCTCAAAGGATTTATCCTCTGGTGGGGAGTCCCCAGTCCTCAATGTAAAGTGGAACATAACACCTCGGCCCCTTCTCTGGGTAACCTCCATGATAATCCACTACAGCCATCATTTTAAATCATTTTAAAGAAGAAAGAAAAGGTAAGGTTATTTACAGAATGAACTCAACCATGTTAAAATAGGTAAAACAAGAAATATATGCACTAAAATACTGAGTGAGAATATCTGGATTATGAAAGTGTAGGCAATTTTAATTTACATTTTTTGTTTTATTTTCCGTATTTTCTAAATTTTCTACAATAACCATATATTACTTAATGGCATTATGGTCAGAGAAACTCATCTGCATATTTATTCTATGGAATTCATTGAGAAATACTCTCTGGTCAGTTTTATAAATATTTCATGAGTGACTGAAAAGAGTACATAGCTTTGATTTCTTGAAAGCAAGTTCTCTTGATATCTAGTATTTTTTTTCCAGAAAAACAGCATAATGTTTATAGTGATTAACATCCTCACCTCTATAATATGTTTTCCTTACATTTTTAAGTTGGATAACTTTGAATCCCTTTTTGAAGTAGTAATTTTAAAAAGTAAAAATAGGGCTTCCTTGGTGGCTCCGTGGTAAAGAATCCGCCTGCCGGTGCAGGAGACCTAGGCTCGATGCCTGATCCGGAAGATCCCACACGCCGCAGAGCAGCGGAGCCGGTACCCGCAGCTGCGGAGCCCGCGCCCGGAGCCTGGGACTGCACTTGCCAAGACTTTGCGCTGCAACCGCTTAAGCCCAGGAGCCCGGGAGCCTGCGCTCCGCAGCCAGAGGAGCGGACGCGCCACAGCCGGGGAGGGGCCCGCTCTCCGCTGCGAGAGGAAAAGCCGCGCACCGACGAAGACCAGCACCGCGAAAACGAAATAGATAAAAAGTTTTAAAGTCAAATGATTTGTACTTTAACTTTTAAGTGGACATTTTGTTGACTGTGCTGTCTGGAGAGAAGAACGTGCACCCTAAAGGTACGGCCTGATGAACTTGCACGGAAAGAAGCGCTCGCGTGTCAGCACCCAGGTCATTAGCGCTCCCCGCCCCTTCCTCTCCTGCGCCTCCCGGTCACAGTCCCCTCCCACAACACCCGCCATCCTGACTTCCCACACTGTTGATTGATTCTGCTGGGTTTTGAAATTTCTATAGATGCAACCCTGGAATACTTATTTGTGTGTGTCTGCCATCTTTTATTCAACTTTCTCTTTGTGAGCTTCATCCATATTGTTGTGTGTAGCTGTAGGTTATTGATTATCATTGATATAATTGATATTGCATATTTATCATGATGTTTAAATCCACTCCACTGTTGAACATTTAGTCCCTCCACTTCCCCCTAGTTTTAGGCTACTATGAATAGTGCTACTATCAGAGTTGTTGTATGTGTGTTTTGATGAACATGTCTATGCTTTTCTGTTGAGTATATACCAGGAGTAGCACTACTGGACCATAAGGTGTGTATATAACCAGCTTTAGCAAGTCCTGCCAAGCCGCTTTCTACACTCCCTCCCTCTCAAGTGATGCTTCACAGTTCTAGTTGTCCCAAATCTTTCCTAGCACTTCACGTTGCTTTTTCTATTTTAGCCATGATTATGGGGGTGCAGTGGCATCTTGCTGTGGTTTCAGTTTGTGTTTAGCAGTTGGCTAATAAGATTGAGAACTTTTCATATGTTTATTACACATTACCCTTTTCATAAAATGCACATTTACATGCCCCTTTTCCTGTCTGCTAATACCTATCAGATTATACTTGATAATTGTGCATTCAAATCTTCTCCATCTTTAATTATTTTCTGTGTCCTTGATTTATCAGGGCTTTTCCCCCCCAAACATTAGAATCACCTAGCAGCTTTAAATAAATGTTATTCCTGGAACCTTATCCCTGTGAAGTCAGGACTTCAAATTAGTGAAATCAGTTGCAGCACCAGCATTGGTATTTGGTAAAACTTTAAAATTTTATTTCAGTCTTACCAAAGAGTTGTAAAAATAGTGAAAAAAGTCCCATATTTCCTTCAACAGTTTTCATAAGATGTTTACATTCTATCTCATTTGTTTTACTATTTATTTATACATCTACATTTATTTTTATGCCTATGTCTAGGTTTAGATTAAGATCTAATTTATTCTCTGAATCATTTGAGAGTTAACTGCAGATATCATGCTCTTTTACCTCGGCCTAGCAGTTTTTGAGAGAGCCTTTTTTTTTCCTTGTAGTTTGGTTGATTTGTACTTGCGAAATTTTCAAAATTACGTTGTTAGGTCCAAATAGGCTATGTTTGTTATATCTTTTTAATGAATTGTTTCTTTTTTATTGAAATGTAGTTTATGTGTAATATTATTTAGTTTCAGGTGTAATACATAGTTGTTTGATACATATTATGAAATGATCATAATCATTTATAATAATCCTAATAACCTTCTGTGGCTTATTTAGTTTATAACTGGAGGTTTGTGCCTCTTAATGCTGTTCACCTATTTCAACCTCTTATCCCCTCCCACTGGCTACCACCATCTCTTCTGTTCTCTGTATCTACGAGTCTCTTTTCACTGTGTTTTGTTTCTTTGTCAGATTCTACATATAAGTGAAATCATACAGTATTTATCTCTCTCTCTGACTTACTTCACTTAGCATAGTGCTCTCTGCTGCTGCTGCTGCTGCTAAGTCGCTTCATTCGTGTCCGACTCTGTGCGACCCCATAGACGGCAGCCCACCAGGCTCCCCTGTCCCTGGGATCCTCCAGGCAAGAACACTGGAGTGGGTTGCCATTTCCTTCTCCAGTGCATGAAAGTGAAAAGTGAAAGTGAAGTCGCTCAGTCGTCTGATTCTTCGCGACCCCATGGACTGCAGCCCACCAGGCTCCTCCATCCATGGGATTTTCCAGGCAAGAGGACTGGAGTGGGTGCCATTGCCTTCTCCTATAGTGCTCTCTAGGTACATCCATGTTGTTTCAAATGGCAAGATTTCATTCTTTTTATGGTCGAGTATTCCATTCTGTGTGTGTATTGGGTTGGCCAAAAAGTGCATTCAGATTTTCTGTACCATCTTGTGAAATGCTCAAAAGAACTTTTTTGCATTATATACATTAATATTTATATGTGTATGTATATAAGAGAGATAGATATATACATGCCACATCTTCTTTATCCATTCATCTATCAATAGACATGTAGGTTGGTTTCATATTTTGGCTATTGTATATAATGCTGTAATGAACATTCATGTACATTTTTTTTTCTCTTGTTCAATTTTTTAAAAATTGAAGTATAGTTGATTTATGATGTTGTGCCAATCTCTGTTGTACAGCAAATGACTCAGACATATTATACATTCTTTTTTATATTCTATTCCATTGTGATTTATCACAGGATATTGAATATAGTTCCCTGTGCTATACATTAGGACCTTGTTGTCTATCCATTCTAAATGGAGTAGTTTGCATTTATCAACTGCAAATTCCAGTCCATGCGTCTCCCACCCCTTCTCCTCATTGGCAACTGCAAGTTTGTTCTCTGTGAGTCTGTTTCTGTTTCACAGACAGGTTCATTTGTGCCAATTTTAGATTCCACATATAGGTGATACCATATTGTACTTGTCTTTCTCTTTCTGACTTACTGCATTGCGCGTACGATAATCTCAAGTTGTACCCATGTTGTTGCAAGTGGCATTATCGCCCTGGCACTTATTTATGTAACTGGAATTTTGTACCTTTTGGCTGCCTTCATCTAATTCTCACTCTCTCCACCTCCTCCTTTTTAAACTTTAGAGTCTCATTTATATTTTCCAACAAATTTATTAACTTTATTTCCCATCATTGATTTTCACATCCTGTATCTTCTTCTGCCTTCAGTTCCTTTCTTGCTGATGTGCATCCTTTAGTAGTCCTTTGCAAATCACAACTAGTAATGTTTCTAAATCTCTGAATGTCTGAATGTCTCAGCCTTGAGTGATACTTTAGCTACTATAGAATTCTATTTGGACAAACATTTTTTCTCTTTTTTTTTGAAGATAAAATTCTCATGTTTTATTGAACCCATTATCACTGATGAGAATCCAACTATCATTCTTTTTTTAAAAAAATACAACCTTAACTCTTTAGTATCTTTTATAATTTTTCTGTGTGTTTGTTCCGAGCTTTTGGTACTATGTGTCTACATGAAAGATTTCTTTTTATTTATCCAACCCATAATCAGCTACTGTTCCAACTTAACAATATTTGTCATTTTTCAATTCTGCGATATTCTCAGCTAATTGAATACTATCTGTCTTCCACTCTTTCCTTTTGGAGCTTGCTAGGGCTTTTCATTACAGACACTTGGTCTTTTAAATTTTCTTTCATATTTTTCATCTTTGCATCCCTGTGCTGTATTCTAGGTAATGTCCTTAGATTTATCTTCAAAATGATTCTCTCTTTGACTATTTACAGTCCATGGTATCCATTGATGTTTCAGTATCAATAATTATGGTTTAAGATGATTAATATTTAAAGAAATATGTCAATACTTTTTATAGTCTAGCTTATGACATTCAATATTTTAGGCATAATTATTTTAAAAGCTTTTTCACATTTTCCCCTATTATTTTTCACTCTTGACTCTTCCCATGGTGGTTTGTTTCCTGTGTGACTTCCAACTATTGACTATGAAATAATCTCTAGGAGTATTGTCTTTGTAGGCAATTCCGTATGCCCTGGATTGCAGAAGCATTTTAGAAGCTGCTTTCTCCTTTGCCTCTCCTGATTAAAGGATTCCGAAGCAATTGTTAATGCTAATTTCTTGGTTTGGGCTCCTCACATCACAGCCTGCTTGGCACATGTCTGGGTTGTAAATGTAAATGGTGACTTTTCTGCCCACAGGACCAAGTGGAAAACAAGTTCTCTCAATACTGCCCTAGTGGGTGGAGTTCTTCTAGTCTCTTTCATGATGCACAGCCATTGTTGAACCTCAGTTTTACTCCAGTAGCTCAGTCCTAATTCCTTTGCATATGGGGCGTGCGGCTTGTACTCTCTCTCTATGCAAAATCTAAGCCTCAGTTCCTAATGGTTAAGGCTTGAATCCAATTCTGACCTCCCTATGAGTTATTTTTATTTCAACTCCTACTTACTATTCTGGCTTTGAACAAAATCTCATTTTAGTCCTGGAAATTTCTATGTATTAGGTACATATTTAATCTGGTAATAGTCCAGAATTTCTCTATATTTGAAATGCGTGGATATTTCTTTGCCAAGTCAGTATGCCATATTGACTAAAAGTGCATGTGTGTCTGTGTAGAGATGATACCAGAGAGGTAGCAGCAGGACCAGAGAATGATTTTGACATAGAATCCAAGAGAGGAAACAGCGTCAAAGAGAAGCGGATGGCCATTGGTTGCTATTAAGCAAAAGCAAAAAAGGAAATACAAGATGTGAACACAGGATCTAGAAGCGAGTGACTCCTGAGCTTGCTCTTTGGTCAGATTTCAGGAGAGAATGAGGGTGGGGAAATGGAAGCAGTAGAGTCTGAGCTCCTGTCTGGAAAGTGTGATCGTGTGGGAAGAAAGGAATTACAGAGGTTCCCTCAAGGAACCTTGTGTGAAGGTTTGTTTTTCAGAACAAGGGAGACCTCAAACTAGCATCAGTGATTCACCTGTCCATCTGGCAGGACATCTATTCTTCTAGTCATCCAAATTTTGTTTACTTCCTGTATAGGAAGAGAGCATTTGTTTTGTATTTGATGAAAAGTTTCTCCAGTCCAAAACTCTCTTTATGATCTCCTCTATCCTCTTGGTTTCAATTTGGTGTCTTTCACCTGAGAGTTATGGTTCTGGGTCTTGGCTTCTCGGTGAAGTAGACAAGGACATGACAGATGTGATAAAATCAAATTCCGTCGTATCTAAGCCACATGGTTGTCACAAGGT